CGCTTTTGCCTGTTAACTGCAATCGGTTGACATCCGACATTGGTCAATGTTCCAGGTTTCAAAGCTGAGACATTTGCTAGTGTCATGGACCTTTATATCTGATAAGGTCACCCTTATTAGTATTCTTTATATAAAGGAGTGTTTTATCAGATATAAAGGGTCCATGCATGTGACCAAATAGGCTCATTCTATTGGCCTAGTAACTCATTAATTATGTATGTTTTTGAAAGATTGTTAAACTTTGTTGATAGCAGTAGTAACTGATTTTCAATATGGGTTTGGAAAGGGGCATTCTACACATCATGCTCTCCTTGACATTGTCAGTACTTTACAATTAAATATGGAGAAAAACTCTATTGTATAATGGACTACACAATAAACTCGCGCCGAATGCCATCAGAGAGGAAATATCAGCGAAATATAATCAGGGTTACTATAAAAACGAAATAACACATGGTTTACGAATATCAACGAGCTCCGTTAACAAAATAACACGACATTTACAGCTTTTTGCTTGGGACGAACATTCCTTTCTCATCGCCCAACCAAAGTAACAGATTGTTAACATTTGCAATGCATCGAAAATTATAAAAGCCCATCATGTTTGGCAGCGAATGACACGAAGAAAGCTTTTGGCTGAAGGTTTATAATGTTTATGAAAATCCGATCAATAATCCAATCAAATTTCGAAGTTTGAATTCAAATTTGATTTCAATAATGCAATGTTGAATCGACAAAGAATCAAATAATGAATTGAATAATGGTGTTTTGAGGGAGCGCGCTTCATGTCTTTTGACTGCAATAATTTACAATCCTCCAAATTGATAGATAACCATAAAGACTCAAAACGTGATTCATATATAGCCAAAAAAATAGTAGTTGAATTAAAATGTTAGTAAACCTAATTGCTTAGGTCCTCATATAGTCACTAGTGTTAGAGGTTGTCTAGGCTTTGTTTGACTTTGTAACTATGATATCTTATATGGCGATGCCATCGACACATATAGCTAAGTATGAAGCGACAGTCTCCACTATTACCTATTAGCCATTCCGGAGTTGCACAGGGGACTGGACACAAAGAAATATTGATTTAATCACGAAACAAACCCCACCCCTTGAAAGGACATCCAAAAAATTGTAAATATTAAAGGGTTATTAACCGTCTACGGCCTACGAGGTCTACGGCCTCGGTCCGTACTGTCGAGACCTCGGTCCGATATTTTTCCGTACAGACCAAGCAAACGAGGTTAATAACACTTTTATTATATGAATTTTTTCTACATCGGAAAAGCAAACTATAAACAGCGTGCGAATATCGATTGGACTATCGATTGGTCCAACTGAAGCAAGCAAAGAACATCAAATTGTCAAAAATATGTGTTTTTTTACATCAGAAAACAGATWTTTYTGTTATAAAAAACAATTCTAAAATGAATTGCCATCAATGTCACAGAAGRACAATCATTTACTAGGAAATGTCTCGAAAGATACTTATTTCGTGGAAAAACAACAATCGTGGGTCTTTCATCTAGTCAAAGCAAAATGAAAACAAACAAGTCAGTAAGCTTTATCTACTTAATCTACAATCAAATCGTTTTCGGCAATCTTCATCGTCGCTTTCAGTGAAAGCATTTCGCCGCCTTTTCCCTTGTTGAACCGTCACTGGACCTTTGGAAATCTTGAAGTTACATTAAGTGATGCTGTGAATTTCTAACCTGGGTTTTATTAGTATAGTCAMGAAGCGCCTTCTCGTCTTCATCTCTTAGAGATTTCGTCACGTGTTTTGTTGTATGCCTTTTCCGCTCTGTACAAGGGCCTTCGCTTTACTACAAGAACGGTTCTTTACGTGTTAAATTCCTTGTCTTTGAAGATGTTTAGTTGGGAGCCATCCTCTTCATTGCTTTGAAAGCRATTTCATTTTCATGAACTGAATAGTCTGATAGCAATCCACCGGAAAGCTGCTCACTCTAAGTAATACCTTTTTCAATAGATGGATAATACTTGTATAAAATGTTTATATTAGACCTTGTTTTTCGTATTGTGRTTTCGCCTTCTACTTTTCTACAAACAACTGTCAAAACAACAACTCCTTGGCTCGGAGTTTGAACTTCGCTTTGGATGTGGCGTTTTCATGCATGTTTTCCTCAACTTAAATTCGTCAGAATAATAATAATAAAATTCGCTTGAAAAATATTCTTCCTCGTCATTCTTAATTTTTCTTTGCTTGCTTCTCGTATAGTTATTCTCAATTTCAGTTCAAAAAAATCAAATCTCGCGCCTTGAAAAATATCAACGCTCGGGATATGAGCTTTCGGACCGTTGTCATGGTAATCGGTSGGAGATGGCAAAATATCGCCCTCGCGTGAGCCAATCAGAACGCGCGTACTATCCAAGTCATATAATAATAAACCGAGTTTCAAAACGTTTGGATAAAAACTAGCTGAACAGTATTTATTCCTAGTTTCATCAAATTAACAGAGAATGTATTGTTTTGGGGGACGGGTCAAAATCCCCAGACATTCTCTGTAAATTGCACGGCTTCTCATTAATTGAATATTTGTCCAAATGATCATTAACTTGGAACCTACACTAAAGTCGATAAAGTCTTTTTAGTGATATGGTTAGTTTTTCGATTGGCTCAATATAACAGAAATTACAATTCATTTCARAACTCCGAAATGGCTRATACTGTGGCGATGGCATTTGGTTTTGAAGATGACATGCGGTGTCGGAAACGTGCGTTTGGTCACTTCGTTAAAAATTATGACCATTTTTACCAATCTATCTAGTTTTTTCTTCAGGACTGAKTTAACTGGTATTGTGATTAATGATATATTTAATAATAACAAGAAGCTACCAACCGTCAGGACAATTCCCTTTCTTTGCTATGCAATACGATCCTTTGGGCCATGACATATGAGATGGAGTTTCTTGAGTTTTTACGCAGAAGTCTTGTCGGGCGTTTCTCCCATTAATTATGCCAAGATGATTGCCAGGGGACTGGTCGTTGGAATTGTCATCATCCTCGCAGTCTTGATAATAGCCTCCAGTCCTCCAAACAAAATCTTTGCTGTCGGGACAATCT